CTCCCAATCATCCTATCCATCTCCTACTCCACCCCCTCCCAATCATCCTGTCCATCTCCTACTCTGCTCCCTCCCCATCATCCTATCCATCTCCTACTCTGCTCCCTCCCCATCGTCCTGTCCATCTCCTACTCTGCTCCCTCCCCATCATCCTATCCATCTCCTACTCTGCTTCCTCCCCAGCAACCTTATCCAGCATTTCATCCACTTTCTACATACATGTACCTTAATTGTCCCCCTAATCCTCCTGCTACAGGTACCCCTCCCCCAACAAACATCCTAATCTGTCACTTAGAGATCCCCCCATCCCTTACATTTTACCCACATACTGTACATGAACATTTGTATGGGTCTTAAACACTGTCTATACATACATCCTGTACATGTACATGTAAATGTACATTACAGGAATGCTCAGTACCCAGGTACATATGTACTGTATGTACTACAGGGTAAGTACACAATACAACTCAAACGTTAACATTCAACTTTTTTATTTTTTTCACTAAATTCAAGTTTGTAAGCATTAATTCAATATGATACTATTTAAATACTGATGGAATTCAAGAGGAAGTAAACAAGCACTCAATGACACATTTTAACACCTATGGACCTGCAAGGAAAAACTTTAACATTTGAGGATGGCCCGACGGACGGACGGAAGACAAAAATCGGCATTTGCTTCGCAGCTCGCCAAAAACCACAAGCGTATTTGGGTGGGACTCAAACCCATGAGTTCCTGCTTACTAGTGCAGACATCTTGCCCACTCGACCACCAAGCTTGCCATTGTCGGCTGGTTGGTTCAAGTCAGATGTTACAGCGAGTACCGGGACCAACTATTTCCAAGGATTGTAGCTGGCAAAAAGGCCAAATATCCACCGTCTTTATAAAACACACATCGGAAATTGGTGCAAACTGGTGAACTTGAGTAAAAATGACAGCTTTTCTACCTGCTGTTTTGTCCAACCACTGCTTGTGATCCTCAATCATCACTGTTAAGTCGCCGTCGCCGTCACCTGGGTCCTCACTGGAGCTTGTTTTTCTTTGGAGCAAGCTCCTTTAATAAACTGTTAGAATTCAAAGAAGATAAAAAAAACATTTTCATTGAATCTGGAAGTTACAGCCAGGCTTGTAATCAGTCACAAAACTTTGTGACTCGAATTGAGAAATTACATGTACATAAATGTAGAGACTCAATTTGATTTGAGTCATTTAAGTGTAATTACTCAAGCTGGGTATTAGGTGCAGAAGCTGAGACATGAGTAAATTTGTAGGAGTTAAGTTGATTCTGTTGATACCCTGTGCTTAGAACTTGCTCAGGTTCTGCTCCCTTTAGTGATGCTGCCTACACATCGGCCTCTCCTTGCTCCATCTTCCTCTAGCTCTGTCCATGCTCTGACCACCTCCTGCAATAAAAGCAATGAATCCCTTCAGCTTTTAATGTTTCCACTACGGAATCTTTCAACTTTACATTATTTTAAGCTCCAATTAAGATCATAGTGATACCTAGACAAAAAATGAATAAATAAACTTTTCAAGAATGACGTAATGAGTGAAAGGGCCTAATCTTCCAATCATTCCAGAAATGTAGACCTCAGCTCTCTGGGCTGTATGCACAGGTATGTACAAATGCTCAATGAATGGCAGCCATGTTGAATGTCACAATTTAGCATGTTAAGTGACCGAAATAGTAATGAAATGCAAATTGTCGTGTCTCTGGTCCTATGGCCATGACGACAAAAGTTGCAGCATGACTCCCCTTCATGTAAACCACCATATGAGCACGCAGGCCCCTGGAAAGCCCTGCATTAACCCCAGTGCTGCCAGGCAGTGCAGTGATCAGTTGGGTGTATAAGTCTGAGATGTACTCTGTTGCAGGGGCAATCAACAGAAGACAAACTGCCGCTGCTAGTAACTGTTCATTTTACACTCCCACTGAAAAATGCTGCCACCCTGGAATTCTGTGGTGGCTGGTAATTAACCACAGACTCCCAGCCTGGCCGTTTGGCCTTGTACAGGTAGACATCTGTCAAGTCACAAGAGGGTGACAATCTCTTTGGGGGATTCCGGGGGGGGGGACCCTCCATCCTGGGCAACAAGTTTCAATACTGGAATTCCCTCTGCGGGATTCCCCTTAAACCTGCGAAGCAAGTTGATACATCAAAGTAATATTTCTAAGCAATTTAAAACAAAGAAATCATTTTACTGAGAAGGGCTTGCATTTCTTAATTAAGCAAACCTCATTAGTAATTATTTATATGGAGCTTGGAAAAACAATATGGTGAAGGGGCTCGATTTGGCTGTGAGCACTTGCAATGCGTGAACTCCAAGTCATGACTACGACTGATAATTTGGGTATGCTATCAACTTCAATATTTGGAAATTGCTGGGCATCGCTCCTTTTTAAAGGGGCTTGAATGACTTTTTTCAAAATAGATGAACCTAACTATCAACCGAAAGCTGCATTCATCTTTTAACACCTACGAATTAAAGAACTGCTTACTGTATTGGATCACGTGGTCGTCACAATGAGTTTGTCCGTAATCTGCTTTTTCTGTATAATAATGCTGGACAGTGTAACTATTGATGGTTTGATGTAATACACGTGCGGTGACCTCAAGTCTGGGTTTTCAGGTTTGTTGTCACCTGATTTGTCATCTAATGATGTCATCATCACATGACACTTTTTGTCTACACCACTTCCCTTTCTAGCTTTCTGCAAGGTTTCAACCAAATCAGACAAGTACTTCAGAAGATATGGAGGTTTGAAGTTTGCACCTTGAATGTCATATCACATGACCCCTGATGATGTCATCTTGATGAATTTGTTCTAGGACCATCCTTGGATGACTGTCATGTTTGAATACAGTATATGTACTTCAGAAAATATACAGAATTGAAGTTAACAACTTAAATGTCACGTCACATGATACCCAATGACATCATAGTAACGATTATTATTGACACCCTCTGGGACAGATACCCTGAGTATGCACCAATAATATGAAGCCCGTCAGAATGACAAATGAGTGTTTGAATTTGTGAAATTAAAAAAAATGTGCATAGAACTTATGGAAAGAAACTGCACCTTTCAATTTGTATCATGTGATTAAATCCAGAGATGCCAACTTTTCAAAAATGAAAAAGTGTTATCCTACCGTACTTCCAGTTCAGGTTTCCCGACCGACCCTTATTTTTCGGTGAGCCCCTACCACCTAAAAAATTTTTAGCGGTAAATTATAAACAAGAAATAAAACTCCATTTAAAAAAATCCTGCTTTCTTTCAGCACAAACACCTGCCAACTTTTATTCACGTCAAAATACTTGTATACATCTGACTAGCATTGAGCAGGTGTGAATTGTACTTAATTGTTGTTTACATTTCTGTTAATTCTGTTAACTTTTTATTTTAAACACTTTTGTGGCTATTTTTGACAACTTTTGTCCCATTCAATTAGCGCAAATTGTCAAAATTCCCTACCTTCTGACCCTATTCAATCAGAAGCAGAGCCTTTTGATTGTTCCTTGGCCTAAATAATGCTTCTTGGTGCAGTAAGATCCAGCGCAGCGCAGATGAATTTGTTATGTACACAAAAGTAAAGTGGCTATTCCATTCAAAAGAATACTGTGCGAACACTACATGTAATTGTACATACGTTGCGTACACACAAACATCGCGCGTGCATTGTCAAACACGCACTACTCAGTGATAGCAACCATTTTGAATGTAAGGGTATTTAAACAGAGTTACACATTAAAAGGGGCCATGAAGTAAAAGCATGGAACAAGGACCAGTGAGGCAGACTTTGTACCAACACACAAATGAAAGTAACAATTTCTTTGGTTGAGTTTAATATGGAAACACACATGTAACTGTAACCAAAAACATTTCAGAGCTCACAAGAACACTTGGAAAAAGTAACAATTACAAGTTTTCATTTGCACAGTTTTGAAATAAATTCTTTCAATACTGGCAATAAGTGACAGGACCTTTTTTCAAAAAACTTCCCAAGGCTAACAGAAATTAATACAATATTGCAAAACTTTAATCAAGAGTAAATTCTAAACACTAGCATTAAAAACACTGGATCACTTTATACTACAATGCAGATTTGCTGTCAAAGCCCTGTAATAAGGACACAAAAATGTGATATTCTGCAAGAAAATCTTTTGCTCCCAATATGTTGCTCTTCATCCATGTAGCTTCCATTATTTATGGTACTGGTTCCTGAAGTAACAAAGTGATCTCCAAAAAGGAGATCCAACAGGTATGTTTCACCATTTGAGGTCATCTGCTTATCTTTCTGGAATGCATTAAAAACTTTCTTTATCCAAAGAAGGGACAAACTTAAGTGAATTTATGGCTTTTCAAATTTCACAGGAAATGCACAAAAAATCACAGGAAGTTGTCTTTCCTGGTGCATCCTAACGGTTTCACATACTGTTTGTGAATACTTTTAATTTTTCAGTGCACAGTGTGCACAAAGTGGAAACAATAAAATGTTTGAATTTTTGATTCTCTTGCCAGGAAGTTTTGATATCATTCAGTTTATTTCCTCCACGGATCGATCATCACACTTCTTGTCAACATTTCAGAATTTGTCAGATGGGCACTTACAGTTTCAGAAATGTTAATTAGCCAATATGCATTATAACGTTTCATATAAATATGAAATTTATTGGATTTCAAAGGGAGACGGTAGTCTATTTGGTGGAATGGACATAACAAGATGCAAGGAAAGGAACTGGTTCAAAGACTAAGATGTATGTGAGGACACCGACTGTTTGTTTGCAATGTTCTTCGTTCTCACTGCCAGATGAGACACTGCCACTCTCGTTGCTGAAATCTTCCTCTGCACTGGATTTGTTTGAACATATATCAGTACAATCGATGCCTACTTTCTTGCAGGAACACAAGTTGCTGTTGCAGGATGACTTTTGGCAGTTACAGTGAACATACTTCTGCACAGCTTTTGGAGCAACTGCCATTGTACTCCACTGCATTGTGATGATTGACTCCATGACCTTCCACCCAAGTCTTGCTGGAAAGGGGGTACCAGGATATGTTGTTTAAGTGATCATTTGTAGATTTAAGCCTAATAGTTAGCTGTCATTACGTGAAGTTTCAAACAGTCTCTGGCATAGGAGGCATAGCAGTGTCATTAAGTTGACCAAACCAGAAGCAGTTGTACCATACTGTGTTGATATCAGATTCTTTTCAGCCACAGAGCTCACATACAGACTTCTCCAACACCTCAATAGGCTAATCAGTGGCAGTCCATTATGTTCCACTTTCACTGAATGCTGTTTGGTACGTCAGGGATCCAACATCATCTTCAGTGGCTTCACCCAACACCTTTGAAGCAACAGTGTCACACCCTGTGAAAGGATGAAGCCCAACACTGATTGTGCTTTTCTCTCCAAGTTGTTCACTGATCATGATGGTGTCCACAAACTTTGCATTACCGCCTGTGGTCATATGGAGTAGGATTCCTGGGGTAAGTAGTGTTGAGGCCCTTACAGCTAGGATGAGTACATCTGTATCAACTGTACGGATGATGATGGTTTGAATATCCGCAGAGGACAGAGATGCATACTTTGCATGGAGAACCATTCTGGTGTCGACTTCTTCATGATCAGCGTGGAGATCTGGCTCTTCCTTGACTGCAGTCCTCCCATCTCCATTGACAAAAATCTTGAAGCGAGTTTCACCACAGGTAACGAACACTACAGTATCCTCAAGAACCTCTGGGGGGCACGTCATCCAATCGTTGGCCAGGGATTTTAGTAGCCCCGCTATATTTGTGCCACACCTGAGAAATTTTTTCATCATTTTAGGTAGCTTCTGCTCCCGTCGTTAAATTCGGATTTGAGAGTGGGCGGCAGAACTCCGCTTCTCTCGGTGACATCTTGATGGATGTTTTCCTGTATCTGTCACCAACGAAATGTACCCGCTGTGCATTATGCTTTCTCACCGTTACTATTAGCTGCTTGAGGAAGTGATCTGCGAGATCAACAAATGTCAATGGGAAGTGTTTTTGTTGCTGGATCATCGCCATTGCATCACTGATTACAACATCTGCATTAAGAGTAGACTCACAGATTCACAGGGACGGCATCTATTATCTTGTGCATTAGGGCAGCTTTGTTTGTCTTCGCCATGCAACCATCAAATCTGGCAAGTGCTGCTGACACCGAGCATAATGGACATCTGACAACATCTTTTACATGCAGCCCTTTTTCTTGTGCCACCATAAGCATCCTGGCAATGAAGCCCCTGTTCTCCTTCACTGATGCATTTTCAAGAGATATTTTTGACCTTGGTTTTCTGTCAATGTTAGCGAATGTCTCGCCAGTTGGCAGACTATGAAAATCAAAGAGATCTTTCTTCCCCTCAGCCAGTCTCTCAGTTATGAACTCAACCAGCCTTTTATCTCCCTGTTGATGAGCGGAAATCAGATTGGTCTTGACAGTTTCGGGTGCCACTCCGCCTGAAGTGATGTTCAGTAGTTGTGGGTCTTCTTCATCACTGACCAGATGGGTGAAACCATCGACTGTCTGCATTACATTTTGAACTGCTGACTCATCGGCTTCAAAACCCTCGATTGGGGATGGTTCTGTTTTTCTTCCAGCCATTGCAAAGCATGCATTTGAGATTGAAGCACTAGCTGGGTGACTCAAAATCCATCGCTGAATAGCACCTTTGTTCAGAGTTACGAATACATGATACACTGTAGATGAAGCTCCCAGTTTCCTTTCCCAGTGGCTCTTATGAAGAGAAGCAGCAACTCTACCATCTGTAGGTAGGAGTTCCAAAATGCTCACTTTGCATTCTGCTGGCAGCATTCATCAACAAACTCCTAGTAGTTAGTGATGAATTACTGCCTCAGTCTTGAGGGTTTGCTTTATATGTCTCAGGGAAACTCGCCCGAGATGTCTGCATAATGTGCAGTGCATCTTCGTAATCACTTGTGGACAACTGACCAAGGTATCTCTCAATCTGAAGACAGTGCATGGCCTCACAGACAATCTTATGACATCACAGACTTTGGTAATGATGCCCGCTCATTACGCTGTTATTTGATCCTTGGGCAACCAAACCAGACTCTGTTGCAATATAAAGGCTTGCATCCCGAATGCGCTTTCCAATCACTGCAAGGAGGGCTATTACTGTGTGAAACTCCCCCAAAACCAGTCGCTGGTCTACCTTGCCAACAAATCTCCTGAGCTTTCGCATGGACCGTGGCTTGGTCAATGACAAGGACGACAGAAGATAGGTTGAGAGCCTACGCAAGGGCCAAACTTCTCTCAAGAACGGTGTTTACGGTTGATCGCTCGATCAGTAGGGCTAGCATCTACATGTATCACCGGAAGATAACCTATTTTGCTGACTTCAGTGCAGCCCTCATTCAGGGATTAGTTACAGCCAGTCCAACTTGGAAGTAGTGGTTCACTCTACAAGATATAACAGGGTGGAATTCTTTAAATTCGCAAAGTCACTCTTTCCTTAATAAGTACAGAAACTTTTAATAAGACTATGATATCAGTTTTACTTAAATGCAGGCATGGAACTGACATTAACTTCAGTTAAAGGGAAAATTACAGAGTCTAGAGGACTTGAGCCAGAAAACAACGGCCAAGACGTGCTCTTACTCAGTAGAAAACAACCTTATCCACACAGAAAATATGCAAATCACCTTGTATTGCTCATTTTTTAGCAAACCAAAGTGCCTGGTGGATCGTCCTGTGCTCCCCTGGACATCAGATGTTCTACCAAGATCAACAGCTTGTCATGAGAAATGCAGAATTTCGTACAATATTGAAGTACAGGTTAGCAAACAGTATGAACACCTCCAAAACAAAAGAATGTAAATCTTGTGAGAAAAATGTAAACAAAGAAAGAACATCACATTTTGTTTTCTTGAATGAATGAAAAGGTTTGAAAGAGCCGTTTCAATGCCATACAGCATTTCCAAGTGAGGTTCACTTTTTGGGTAGGGTTGTGCACATGTATGTGACTCCCAAGTTTTAAATTTCAAACATGATGGGGACTGATAAAACATTTTCAAGGGAGAGATGCAGAACAGGATTTATTACGGGCACACTTCAGCCCACCCCACTTGGAATACTGCAGTACATTGCTAGGCAGTGAAGATTTCTTCTTTTAAGAATTGGAAACATACATTAATCACGGATCATTTACCCAGGGATGTGTAACTTAAGCTCAGAGCTGGTTCAGTGCGTGTTACGGCCGGCACAATATCAAAGCAGAAATTAAATTGCATTATGTAACACTTTCTCTTTTAATAAAACATATATTCCTGTCCACCACTTTTTTTGTAATATTTTAAGTCAGGGTACACCCTTTCTAAAAATATCCTGCTCAAGATATTTCATCCTATACATTCTGAGAAAAGTGTACCACAAAATTGGGGAATTTTGCCTCATTAAAACTTCGTTTCTCCTTGAAATCAATAAATGAAGATTTATTTGTCAAATAAATTTAAGCACAGCATGGGCACATCGTCTCGGCATAACCATAGCTGCACTGTACATGCTGCATCCCGTGTCATGTGGTCACGAGTTTTTTTCAAGAAAGTTGAGATCGCCTGCGGGGGTAATAACAATCCATAACACACATGGAACCTGCAAGGTGGCGCATGTGTTTGCACTGGGGCCACTCACGGTTGCACATCCCTGGATAAATGGTTCGTGCATTAATGGATATTACATGTAGTTTGGGAATGCTGTACATTTACTAACAGAAATGAAACAAGTGTGTACATGTGCATGTGTCAATCTGTTTTGAAAAGTGGGGGGGGGACATAGCCCTGATCAGAATAAATGTAAGTGTGAAGCTCTGAGTGGCATGGAGTCTGCTCAAGGGCCCCAGAAAAGTTGGGAGTATTCACATGTAGATGCCCCCTGATGTGATCTGAGACAATTTCTGGCAACTTTAGCCAGTTTTTTCAACAGATGCTTTTGCAAGCTATACACTTTCATTTAGGTTTTGGGGAAAAATAAGGGGGGGAGGGCAATTGATATAGTATCCCCCACACTTGGAAAAGTGGGGGGACGTGTTATGCTTGTAATAATGGCTTCAATTAGTAAAAGTTCACATTCATATTTATATATATCATTGTTTAGCAATGATGACAACCAACTTGTAGGAATTTTTCTCAAATACATGTACGTGTACATCAAATAAAATAATTAAAACAAATCATTGTCATGCTTGTCCCCCCCCCCAATGTTGTGAACCAACTGCTGGAAAATCCTGGTGGAGCACCAGTTCCAAGTTGTACTTGCTGGGTGGGGAGAGCAGTGTCATGCTCTAGACTAACAGAATGGGAGACACTGTTGCTACAGCTTTGAAGAGCCCGTCATGTGACACAATGTCATTCTAAGAGCCAAGTGCTTTGGCATCAGTTTCCTCCCCTTTAAAGATAGCGAAATGATGTCCTGTGCAATGGCGAGCAGCTTCAGTGTCAGCATGGTCCATGAAATTGAGGTGTAGTGGCGGCAAAATGTCGGCACTCTCAGATTCTGTCAAACTACATGTACTTGCAGTAGGCAGCCATTTGGGACACAGCGTGCACTACAGAGAGCACTTTTGAAAAAGAGTGCCGATTTATACACTTGATCAATGTCTTCCCGACCAGCAGTAATAGAAGACAATGAGTGGGGTGGAACATCTTGGCTGCCATGGCTCGACTCGTCACTCTCGGAACAGAGCTACATGTATCTGATTCACTGTCTTGTAGGCCCACAATCACTATATCATCTTCAGTTGGGCAAAACACAATTCAAACTCACATGAGGCAGATTTGGGCTGAATACATGCAGTCCAGGAAATCTGTGAAGTAGCTTCACCTTTAATTCTGAATTGCGGTACCAACTGACACCAATACATTCTCTGTTTTTTCCAATATCATTGAAGAGCTTGTTTCTTTTTCAGAACTTCCCCAATGGCTAAAATCCTCTTTATGATTACCTCATCACATAAGTGAGCAAAAGCTTCTGACAAAAACCAACCAGAAAGCTATCTGCCTCCGTACGCTCATTTTGTGTATTGTTTATGGCACGAAGCAGGGTAGCAAACCTCAATGCTTACAGGATCAAAGCCCTCAGTATGAAGCAGTACTTGCTGATCATTTTTTTACAGCTGCAGCCTCTTTAAGCTTTGAGGCATCAGTTTCACAGGTCACAAGGCACTACTTATGTAGTGTGGTCGACAATACTTTTCTTTGAGAGGCAAATTATTCAAATCTCTGGCAGAACATGCTCTGACCTGCGTGTACATGTATATGAGGGCTTCAGACCTTAGGACTTTATCATGATGGACAGTACCATCATCTACTTTTTCAGCCTCTTGGTTTGCTGACGTCATTTCTTTTAAATGACCCTTCTCTTTTCGTAAGAGTCCTTGACTAAGCCGCTTCATGTCTGTGAAACGCTATAGCATTTTCGATGGTAGGCCTACCCATACAAGTTCTTCTTATTTACATCGAATTCGATAGAAACCCTTTTCTCAACACCATCTATATCTTTCCATGTACTCACACATTTAACTGTCTTGTTTCATGAAACGTCTTTGAGCGGTACAACACTGCAACAGGCTCTTCAACATCTGTGACATGCCAAGCACAAACTACAGCTCCACATGGCCGGGTGCATCCATGTTTGTCGTAACGTACATAACCACGTATCCAGGGACAATTGCATGCAAATTGTGTGTGGTCAAACATACATGTAGGTGCGCTTGTGCTTACTTAATGAAAATGAGGTTGAACTCCCAATAATGTGTCCAAAAAGGAGCTTGGAAATTGCCTTTTTGTGGCAAAATGTACCAGTTTTTGTAAGAACATTTGGATTTGCTTTTTAATAAGACATTATCTCTTACATTTTATAGTCCAAACTTATTCACTTATTACCCTGCAGCACCTTCAAAAGATATTGGGCACGGCCCATGGCCGATGGCCCATTACCAATCATGTCATGGCATGTGAAAAAACTGCTATCGACAGAGTAGCGCCAATTTCAGGCTCTGGAATCAAAATGGCTGTTCATTATATGGCAGTACAGCATGCAGCAATGATGTGCTAATTGTTTCATGTGCACTGCTGCATAATGCACCGTTTTGCTTCCAATGATTGTTGAAACTCTCTTTCGGAATAGTTGGGGAAGGGGCAAGCGAGCCACCAATTTGGGAATCTGATGTCCTTGCATGGGCACCATATGAAACTGTCGCTCACGTCCTTTAAGGTTGGGTTCAGTGCAAAAAGAGCGGCACTTAGTTATGAATATGATACATGGAAGCATGACCAGTGGCGTGAATTTGTGCTGAAATTGGAGGGTCGTGGGGGATCGTGGCGCCAATCGAAATTTGAAGAGCGGGGGAGGGGGTACTGCCACCCTGACACTATAAACGGGGGTAATGTTCATGATACAGAATCATCCTGCTGAATTTTACATCAGAATGGCATATGCCTATCTATGGGTGGCGTTTGCTTGCTATCCCATTTTGAGTGCCATCGAATACATTTCGGTTGTCTAAAATGCTGAGGGAGTTGGCATGACACGTATATGTATATCCCCGGCATAAACACGGCTTTGCCTTTGCCGGGCCTTCTACAGCCGCGGATCTAGGGGCTTAGGGGGTCAACCCCAACTCACCCCTCGTCATGTTAACTGTCATGCTTACATAAGAAGAATGCAAGAAATGACAGAATGCCTTCTTAATTTAAGGTGATGTTTTAATGAGCTGGTAATTATCACAAAATGTTGTACAAAGCAAAGGTTCGTTGTTTCTAATGGGGTGAAATACTCTTTTGCATATGCCGATGATGTATAAAATTTTAGCCTACTGGGTTTTCGACTTTGTTTCGATTGAAATCGTCCTCTGCATTCTAGAATTTCCACGAAACACCAACGTTAATTTGAATCAGTGATCAGAATATCTGTTCAAAGGTAAAAACGGAGATGATACAGAGAATTAATACAACAAATTACAATGTATATCAGGTGCATTTGTAACAATGCACTACACATGTACAACTACAGTTATTTCTTTCGCTATTCAGATAATAAATTTACTATGTACTCTGTGTAAATACTTCAGATATGTTACTGTCCATTTTACATCAATGATAACTATACAAGATTCAGGGTACGTAACTATACACGATTACTGCTGCTTTTGACCAACTTCACCATTTTATACGAAGGGGAGGAAATATTTGGTTTAGAAGCAAAGAATTATTGTGTGGTATTTGGAATTTAAGTGGAAAACAGGCTAATTTGACAAACCATGCAGTGTGTTCGTTGCTTTATTTTCGTTTTGATTTGTTTTGTTTTGTTTTGTTCTTACCTATCTCCTTCTTACGAGTACTTAGGCACAAACATTTTGTACAGACAAATTTTCCAGATTTCAAAGTAAGAAACGTAACATTAAATCTCTTTGTCAATCATACTTCTTGCTATGTAATGTGATAACGCAACGGGGCACGTAATTGAGGCCGTAGAAAAACAAAATGTTAAATATATTAAAACGTTAAACTGTTCCACTAAATTTATAATGATATAAAATTGAATCCAACTGTTTCAGTTTTGTTACCTTTTTCGCAGAAATAACGTAAAAGGTTTTCGGACGTTTCATTTAGCATTAAACACGCAAGACACTAAGCCTTCTCATTCAGGTTTGAATAATAAAATGAAATCTGAAATTGATATCTTAAGGTGAGGGTCAAGGCTTAGAATGACCTTAAAGATAGAGTTTCTCCATGAAGTAAAGATAAACATGTCTGATCTCTTAATAACACACTAGATGTACATCTCACAATTTATACACGTCTTACTTCAAATATGTAATAAATGTATAAAAGTAACAAAAGATTACTAACAATGTACACAGTGGATTTTTGAGCTAAACTAGGAAGGTGAAAAATTATATCAATAGTAAAAACAGTATCAACATGAATGGGAGATACTCATCAATAAGTAAAAAGTCGGCAATACAGCCGTTTCACAATAGTGTGCTACCAAGAGTTTGCAACGTGTTGGCCAATCACAATGCGCGAAATTTGTCGACCCAATGCGCGTTTGGAAAGGTCGACAAACTTCGCGCGTTATGATTGGCCAACGCGTTGCAAACTCTTGGTGGCGTACTGTTGTGAATCGCCCGTATTGTATTTGGTCATTATTTTCATTTTCGACAGAATTCCTTTTTTTATTGCTGAAAGAAAATCAGCTAATATCAGTGGTTCAGTTGACTGATGCAAATAAATGCTGAACTGAAATTCCGGCGTCACGTCCAGTTTTAATGATGGTAACAGTAATCATATGAATATGCATTACTATTGTTGCACATTCATAAATCACTGCCAATACAATTTTTCGTGTTAAACAACTTAATATAACACTATGATCATTTATGATATTACATACGGTGAATATATGCATCCGTCACAAACATGAATATTTATTTGTTTGTTTTTACATATATTTACATGATTGTGTATATAATGTGAGAAAACAAGACGTTTCAATTTCTTGTATGTGTTCACAGTTAAGAGTTTACAAGAGAAATTCTCCAAAGGATGCATCACTGATGTCTCACCGTAACCCGACCCAGTACACAGGGGTGATCGGTTACAAAAATGAGGTTCTTCACCTGAACTCGAACATAATGATGTCACTACAGATTATCTAATTAGGTTGACTATGGGGTGGTAATACCAAATCAATTCCTTACTTGAAGATTGTAATGCGATGTTTTGGATTTCATTGATGACATTTCCCAATGAGATTTCAATTCTTGGTACCGTTGGCACTGACAAAAATATCTTCCCTTGAGTTGAATTAAGCCACCCCCCACAAAAATCATATCTGGCATAAATGGTATGTTCCAAAGCATTACTAAGGGAAAAGAATAACACCAGGCTTATGAAGACGACAAATCAATGTGCTCTGAAAAGCCCTCTTCTCTCTTACCCAGTGAAGGGTGTCATTCTAAAATTGTGGCAAAACCACGTTTTTCAATTTCAAGCGAGAAGATAGGAATTGTCACGGTCAATAGCTTTCCTCGGCAAGGCAGCTGCATTCTAATTCCTGGACCTGAAGGTCACAATGTTTAGTATGTAAAATGTTCTTGCAAAGTCTCCTCAGACAAAGGCTAAACAAAGGCTAAACACCACTCTCTATTTTGGGTGGGTCTCGAAAACACAAGAGAACGAAAAAATGCGACCAAACGTACCCTGCTGCCGTGGAAAAATCATAATATTTAAGTGAATAAATTTGGCGTTGATCATCATTCTCGTCCTTTAGTTTCAGTCATCCAAAGTGACCTTCCTCTAAAGGTACAGTCCATCATTTGCAGTTCTCCAAAAAGTATGGTTGAAAATCATACCTGCTTTAAAGATGGCTGTGGTATTTAACTCTCTTGGAAGTATTACTCTTTCTGGCAAGCCGTCATTTTCAAGAAAACAGTGAAAAAAGGCCATCGCCGAAGAAGCATCTTAAGACGTATTTTTGGGAAAATTGCCATTAGGAGAGCGCGGCAGCGTTGACACGATACTGGTGCGCCCAGTTACTATAATTCGCCGCCGCAGTGTTTGGCATCGAGTGGCTGCATTCGACTTGATGAGGAAATATAGAACGTGTCCCAGATGCTGACTGCAGGCGAAATTCAAACATGACTCAGCAACATTTGATTTGAAATCGGAATCCAAGAATTGTTTTTCTTTTAATGTAGTACTCACTGAGCTGAAACTTCGTCAGGTTTGTTTTTTAGATTTTGAGTTTTTGTTTCCCCAAAGAAAATGCTGCACATTGATGGACTGTGCCTTTAAAACGAAAGAGACTGCATGAATCCGAGGACGGAGGAACTTTCCGTGGCCCCCTTCTCTCCCCTCCTTCGTCACCATCCACAACTACCCCGTCGCGTGCCAATTGGGCCAGGGGGCGGGTTCAGACGTGTGTGACCGGCTTGGTGTCCATGGGCACCGGCATGCCGTTCAGCTGGCACGGGTAGTTCAGCTCGGTAGGGTACTGGGGAGGGGTCTCCATGTTCGCCCGAAATCGCTGGGTGGAATAGATCAAAGTTCAAAGGTGCTTAATGGCCTCTTTATTTACTAATACTTATTTCTTCAATCAGCGGCGTCAGTTCTTGAGTGAAAAGACAGGGGATGAGCACCATCCTTTAACTAGCTGCTGGGATTAATGCTGGGCATTACGTTGGGGGCACTGTGGACAATCCAGTTGCTTATCTTACGTACAGTTGCGTGCTTTACTCCATAACAGTGACGTCTTTTAATGAATCAATTTTAGAGCGTCTTGCGTCAACAGACAAAGGATTACACTTTGTTCTGCACTAAGTATCGATTCTTCTACGATGTACTTTCAAAACACATTAACTTCGACGTCGCTAAAATTAACATAACCAGCAAATCCGTTAACATTAAGTTAAGTTACACAATTCATCTTCTTTTAAAGTTTTTGCAAGGGAAGCAAAAAAAAAGGAAGAAAAATAGAGGACAAGATGTTTTCCAGCGTACCTCGTATATTGATCCGGGGGTGGTCACGAATTTGTAGACGGCGGTGATTGGAATGAGAGCCACAGAAGCTGAGGCGATCAGCCAGCCAATTGCGATGGCCCATGGCGGGTACTTGTAATCATCGAAGGTCGGGTACTTGTAATTAGCTAAGCCAAACACGCTGCAACACTGCAAGGGCAGGGGGGTCGACAGTAGGGTTACTGGCGGATGGAGCAAAAGTCATTGGATGTCGACAGTCCTACAGAGTGATTTACTCTTCTCTGTGGTTAATATGTGCAGTAGCACCATGTGATTATCTCTTTGGGGACGATGTGTGCTTCTGAGAAGAACCAGTGAGTTGAAACTTGACGTTTTTAGTATGTTCTTATTGTCTTCAGGAAAAGATCACAATGTCCAAATGTAATGATTGAAATGTGGAGGTTCAACTCAGTAGTTCTTTCCGGAACCACCCATCATTCCAAACCCTCGATTCTTCATATCACAACCATACAAAGGTTCAAGTCCTGCTTCTCTCTAGAGTGTTTTACTGAAAAGACTGCCGGCTGATTAAGCAGAAACTAGGAACTTTGCCAGCGCACTGAGTAAGCCTTGTGTTTCAATACATGCTTTTTGCAGTTTGTCTTCGTGTCTACTGTTGTTTTGGTTCACTTTATTCTCACTTAATTTCATCAAAATCGTTCATATGTTTGTGTGAATTTGGCCGTTACCCCTCACAAAATTGTTACAGTCTGAGTAGCTCAGACACTTTTGCTTTAATTAGGAAAGAAGGAACTCTGTGTACGCACCAGAACGAAAGCTGGGCCGATCACAGGCCAGCACACGCGCCAGTAGATCCCGGGATAATACCCCAACATCTCCTTGATGTCACTGCAGATGCGCTTGGTTGGTGGGAACGACATCCCTGTCAAAGTATATATACATGTATAAATTTAAGAAAATCGTTGAACTGTATCGTATTGGCCAGATCAGATCTGACAGATCAGCGCAACTCGTCCATTCAGCTTTTACAAATTGTCTTACTTAGAATTCTTATCTTACCATAGCACCACGAAATGGCGACAGTTTCAAAGAAGACGGCAATCAAGATGGAATAGGATGCAGCGAAGTTGTCGAAGAGGTGCACCATATATGCCCCTCCCTGTAAGCAGACAGTCAGAAGTCGTTAGGAGTAACATATTGTTACTGATGACCGACATGACGGCAGATCGCAGCTCTTGACGATGACATGGATAAAAATAACTACAAAGTGGGGATATTTATGATGACATGTGTGAAGATGGTATCGATGTTGTCTAGGCACTGATAATGAGGGAAGAGATGCACAGTACAAAACAAAGAAAATAAGATAAAATTCCTCCAAACAAGCACCACAAAGAATCGTTACTTTTAATTGTAGCATTTACGATTTTTTACCATTTTGGGGACATTAACCAAATGCCATTTTGGGGACATTAACCAAAAGGTTCATGTATTAATTATCAAACCAAATTCCTCACATTAATGCTACTTGAGTTATGAGCTTTGCATATATAGAGAGTGCCATTCAAAAAGCCATATTAATGAGCTGTCTTCGCAATTCATGTAACAGACCATTTTGGATGACCATGATGCCAAGTAAAGTGAATATATTTGTACTTCATGCAGAAACTGGGGACAGTATGTGATATCCTCGGTCTCTTGTAACATATATAAAACCTGAAAGATTCCGACATATGTCATGTATCAAACGTGTTAAATTTAGAACTGTTGTTTTTGCAGGGTTTATCCTTGATAATGTTTCCTTGATTGCCCTGGTAGAGAAAAGATTACGAATGCATTTTTATTGAGGGCCGGGTTTTTTTTGCTTATTATCAACACATAAAGAGGGATGAGGCTGAGCAGATGAAAAAAAGTGAAAACAAGCAACGACAATGGCAACAGAGCACTTACTTGGGACACGAATGTCAGCCCAACGAGGAAGTACATCGAGAAGAGACCGCCGATGAATATCTCGCGATGATCCCTAACGATGCGCGGAAACTGATCAGAAAGAGCAGTCAGAATGGCTTCCGACCCTCCAAACTATAAAGTACGACACAAATTAAAAGAATGCATTGGAGCATAACACACTCGCACTACAAGATTTAAAACTTGAAATTCGTTTTGATTACATACATGAGGGAATTATCTGGTGCAATCAACTGAAACGGTATGATGAAACAATCAAAAATGAATATCGTCACGTTGAGTGGATCCAGTATCTACTTCAGTGTCTTTTCTTTAATTAAAGTCTACTTTTATGTACTTTTTTTCTCCAGCCTCAGTAAAGACAAGCGCCCGATCTTCTTTTTGGGGGGCCAAAGATACTATCGTTGCTGATATCAAAATGGCCAAAAGTCTGAAAAAACAAAGGTCCAATTTCTTATTCATTGAACCTCAGACACCTGATCGGGTACTTATTAGTAGAAAGCTGAGGTATACAGAGACGGTGCAGGAAAGAGAGAGAGGGAAAGGCTTACGGAGCTGTCTAGACCCAGCGTTATTAGCATCAAGAAGAAGATGATGGACCAGATGGGTGCTCCAGGCATGGTTGCCAAAGCCTCGGGGTAGGTCACAAACACCAGACCCGGACCTGAGAAAAATTCGGCATTGAAACAGAGAAAATATTCTCCTGTTAACAGCAAGAACTTCGCTTTCTGATCCTTCCTGTGAATAGTGTCTACATTGATCAGGGAACGACTGCCCGGTCATGTAGCGAAATTCTTGTAGGCTGGGAACGGACATGATCCATCGCTTTGACTGCTGCAGTTGTCTCAATCATGCAGCCACTCACAGCAAATTACCGCCCAGTATACCGTGTTTGCTTGTTCCAAGCTCTGGAACCGGCATAGAGTAATACTCCCCCACCAGCATCGTATCTGTAACATCTTTTAATAGGATAACTTGAAAGGACGGAGAATGCTCCAGCGGTAGTATCATTAGGAGAGGTGGACAGAGGCATCCTTTTATCGTATTTTTAATTCTATGATCAAACTCAATGGGTCTCCAATTTCCGAAAATGAGGCATACAGGTGCCCTCTTCTTGGAACATACAAAATGATTGTCCACTGATTCTCGGAGAATATCAAGGCACTTTGTGGCTGATGTTATGGTGAAAAGCGGCCCTATTAGTGACTATTGCTTGGTTGATAACACCTTCTGTTTGGGGAATTCAGAGTGGTACCGATTCATTGGCTAAGATTGGAAGCTAAACCCGTTGGGAGGATTCCGTCCCGCATCGAGGGGTCTCTTCAAAGAAGCAACTTCCGTGCATGCACAGTCCACAATACTATTGCTGAGACGTACTTGAGGCTGTTTTAAGTCATCAGTAGACCCAATAGATGTTTTACCAGTCTCCCAGTCGGAATTCATATTGCACGCTTTTCGACTGAACTGAAGTAGAGTGTTCCTTAAAAATTGTTCACCGTTCCACCGGTGACTGGTCTTGCCAACTTCTCGTGACTGGTCGTGTGCTACTCTAGCCGTTTGGCTACTCTTATACTTATGGATGGCCTATGACTGGTACTTGTGACTGATCTTGTAACTGGTCGTGTCTGGTCTTGTGATGGTCCCAACTATATACCACGTTAGCTGAACCTGAGTTTAATGCAAGCTCTTTCCGCTTAATTTTGTCCGACCATTTCACATTTTTCACTCTAGGTTCGTGAGATTCAACTGAATATTGCTTTTCTTATGACAACTAATCTGCCTCTTTTGCTCAGTAGTTTGCAATTCCCAACAGAGGTGAAAAGGCTTCATATAGGTCTAAAAGGGTAAAAGACGTGGTATTTATATTCACTCGCTCCTGAACAGTTCATGGCAATTTCACCTACTGACTTCAATCTCACCATTCTCACAAAAGCCGTTCTAGAGGAAATCAAGGTTATGGAGGTAACAAGGTTATTGAGGTTTAGCCCTGAACTTTACAATTGACACTGCATTTTCTCTGCCACGATGTATCAAGTACAAGAATGTACTCTTGTAAATAAATTCTTTGAGCTTTTATGCTGCGTTTGCGATAAAAATAGGAACGATGCAAAATCCCCTGCGGTGTGACTTGTTATGCGACTATCGGCAAATCAATCATCTGGCTCCCGATGGCTTGTGATTTCCCAAAAATAAAATATCGGCGTAAACCCCCTGTTAAACACTGCCCCTTGTATAGCGCACTGGTTTCGATCGCCTTGCAACGCTCACCAATGCGCAAGGGGCGTGACCCCTCTCCCCCACAGCAAGGTCCCCATGGAAAGACGATAACCTCATCGAGGTAAAATTAGATGACCCCTCACGACCTTACATTTGGGGCAAGTGCGCCTCGGCTTGAAGGCGCTCATTTAAGTTTCCCTGGAGGAACCTCTATGCAGTGCGTTGTTCTATCCCGTCGTGTAATGAAATGACATTCAAATCCGTAGTGAGTGAGCGATCTACACCAAACACAAAATTTCTCACAGATTCACATTACACACCATGTCACGCTGGGTTTACTGACGGTTAGCCAACTTACGCGAGCAACTGGTATTTCACTCGATGTACAGCTGTTTTGATCATTTCCTACCTGTTTAAAATCACCTACAGGCCCCCAGGCAACACCAACTGCCTCTGTGACTTTATTTTTGTTCTACCCACATTACATGTTGTTACTGCAAGCCCTCTCTTTAGTCTATCTCCGCACTGCAAAGCTTCGAGTCTTAGCTTTTATTCTTTGTTCTTTTCTCTTTTTTTCACATTTCAATTCAGCATAAACAGATAGGCCTAGTGATAACATCATTACACTGCGTGAACCTGAACACAGGTCGTCGAGCAAGGGCTCTAATGACTTTCTTCATGAGTCGGCCAGATTGAAAATTAGTTGAATCGAGGTTATCGTAACTCTTAATTCAGCATTGGAACTTCAGAGTAGAAATGAAAGCAATAACGTGTAGGTCTAATTTATACCAAGTTGTTACCCGTACTTGCCTTATAAACATTGATTCCATGGTGTACCTACAAACCCATTTCTCCTATACGGTATGTATAGGAGAAATGGGTTTGCGGGTACACCATGGAATCAATGTGATTTGGGCGAGGTGTTAACTCGACGTTTCGGCCAGTGTGCCCTAGCCGTCCTGCACACCTCGCCCAAAAGAGATTGATTCCATGGTGTACCCGCAAACCAATTTCTCATGTCTCTTCCACCATGCAAAGCTTCAAATCTTACACACTGTATAGGCCCTATTGTATTTTCTAAAGTTAAGCCAAACTTTGATATTAGGGGGAGGCTCGGAACACACGCCGATTATAAAATAGGCTGGTAAGGTACCATTCCATTCAACAGCTTACAATTTATAAAACAGATTTTAAAACACGAGATCGAAGATGATTTCCTCGTGGAACGTCACGAGCATAGTCTTTGCCATTCGTGGTTAACGTTGGCAAAAGCTTTGCTGACCGTGAGTACAAAACCAAAATGATTAATCACAAAGTGTTACAAAATCTCTCGTAACACCAAACACCTACCTTTCCAAACTGTGGCCACCCACACAAAACGAAGCCATTGTTTGCAAAAGCTAAGTCTATTACCTTCCGTGGCTACTGCGTCGATGTTAACCTTGTTGCGCACCGACATGTAGCCAAGCACCGAGAAGACGACAAACCCGGCCAGAAAACTAGTTGCGCAGTTGATACAGCTTGTCAACAGTGCATCCCTGGAGAAAAGGAAGCGAACGATCGCACGTTGGAAAGCCTTCGGAAAGAGATACGCACGTTTTTTATAAAGCTGTAGCAAACGTAGGGTCGGCTTTCTTTCAATAATCGTTTGCAGTTTATTTCAGTTTATTGTCATGTTGCAGTTTATTTCTGTGAAAAAAGTAGGCAATAACAAAACGGAGTAAAAAGGAACCTATCAATTTAGAACAAACTAAAATACCTGCGAATGAAGCATACATGAACAACTACATACGTAAAAATAAATTAACACAAGGCGCTTAGCCCAAACGCAGCAACAACTTTTTACTTGCCATTCACGAACTTGAACTTATTAAATGGAACTTTACAATTTCTTACCCCAAGGTTCAACCGTTATTTATTAAATTAATTTTACATGTCTTTGTTTGTTTCATGAGTTCCTTCGTCTATCGAACATCTTCAACATGTAAAATGTAATTTTCTAATTGATTGTCTAATAGTAGCTATATTGTCTGGTTCTTTCAACACTACAAATCGTGTATGGCTAGCGATGCGCAAATCCAAAGCAACAAAATCCTCAATCCCTTACCTGTAAATATTGTTGTTGAACTTGTTGTAACTTGCGTAGGCCAGCATAGTTCCGAACCCAGGGCCAAGAGAGAAACAGATCTGGGTAGCAGCGTCTACCCACACCTGTAGTAAAAAAAAGTTACTTTGCAAGGGCACGTAAAACTGATTTTAAATCAATGGTGCCCTTTTTGAACTACTTTTATTCTATTAATCTAGTGAAATAATGTGTTAGAGTGAAGAGAAACCAGTAAATCCCATACTCCAGAAGTTAATGAACGTTTAAGATCTGTCAACCTCGTTTTTGTCAACTCCAGCGAGGGAAGAAGTGATTATCGCCTTTGCCTGCAAATATTATGCACTACTCTTAACTTCTGATAAGTATGATGTGTGCATCCAACTTGTATGCGACACGTTAACCGGCAACTCGGAGGTTCCGATCGGAAACGATCACTTGACTCCATTGAGTCTGGTAGACGCTCCCTAACGTCACAATGTGGAGACCCAGACGCATGTCTTGCCTTAACTCAAAAGTGTAACGCATTTATGACACAGCCGTTGGCAGTGCGTTGTGCTAATTTCTATTCAATAGTGAACCTGTTGTAGTTCTCTTCCTCATTCTTCAGACTTCACTTTTCTCTTTGATTGGTGAAAACGTACCTGAGCATTCAGTAGCTTCTCGAATTTTGGCACCACGTAATACTCAATGCCGACTCCCGCTCCCTCTAATGTAACGCCTCGAATCAGCAGACAGAAGAGAACCACGTAAGGAAAGGTAGCTGTGAACCACACAACCTTGAGAAGCGAAGTAGAGAAACAACTGATACGGTTGATCCTAAAATGCTCAAAATAGTTCAACGGTATACAATGAACAAGTTGCTGTTTTGATGTACCCTTTGATATTTATTATGCTATTGCTTTCCATGTCAACAGTATATACACAGATTCTGCTGTTCTAATGCAGGTGGTAAATTCCAAGCCCCGTATGATTTAAATTAGCAAACTGGTTTTTAATCTCACAATTTTATTAACGAATTTTGAATTTTCCTTTTTTATGTGTCCAATTGGGTAAGCGAGATCGCAACCACTCCACCCACCTCCGCTTCCAATGCATAAGGAAACGAGGCAAATGGGCTATTAACACGTTTGATCTAGAGCAAATGTGCCGTTACCTATGGCATGATCGTCATAACACTTTTGGGTGTTATCAAATGACCATACCATCGGGTGTTACTTTAACACTGATGATGTTACTTTGCACACTTATAAGAGTTACAGTGCACTAGAAGGTGTTACAAGTAACACCAAATAACACCAAAATTTTAACATCAGTAAAAAGTGTTGGTGTAGTCTCTTGATAACACCGCAGGTGTTAAATTTAACACCCCAGTTTTTGCAGTGTTCTCAAGAAATCTTCATCTGTCGAAGAGCTTAGTTATAGCTTCTTGGATAAACATGAAAGTGCTCATTGCAAGCTCGCCAAATATTGGTCACAAGTGCATACCTTTCCGGATCCTCGGATACCCTTCCACATGCTGAAGTAGCAGATGACATAAACGGTGAAGAGGCACAGCATCAGTTGCCACACCACTTTGCCCATGTTCTCAATCCCACCACTCTGGTTCATCTGGAGAACACCTCGTCTGTAACAAGACAATCACCAACGAGTAGTTCAGGTCGCATCATGTTCAGTCGATCAAGGCAATGGATACCTTTGCATATCATAGGCTAATTATGATATCCTGTAACCGCTTGCTACCGTCTGTTTCTCGATGAAAAGGACTCTGCCACAAATTCTCAGTGCAATTCGGGTATTAATTATACTACTGTACACCTATCTCAGGGATCCTAAAGATGCACTTTGTACCAACTGTAAGTTTCTATACTATTCTACAACCAACTAATCCCTCCTTTGCAGCAGAAATATTCGGTAGCCGCTTGAACTTCACTTAAACACCCTACATCTTACTGCCACAGCAGTCACTTATTGTATTCTGAAGCAATCGATCTTTGGAAAGGATCGTTTACACGTATAATAATAATGCATGTAGTTTACTCACATACGCACACACTTCTCTAACTTCATGTTCAAGTTACTTAAAGTAACACGTATTTTGGTGCTTTACTCACTCGTAGTACTCCGTCGCTGCAGATGCTGTCTGATTGATGATGATAGTGTCGTTTGTGCCATCTTCTGCTGAGACGTTGACCTCGACGTAGTACCTGGGACCATCTATGGGCTCAAAGCAGTAGATTGTGTTCCAGTCGTGGTCGCAGGTACTCCACGGGAGGACCGTGGTGAAGGAGGCGAAGAAATAGTACAGCGCCCAGGAGATGATGACGTTGTAGTAGAAGTCAACGAAGAAGGCAATGAGGACGACACACCACCCAACGCCTGTTGGAGTATTGAGCGAACCGGTTTGTTGAAACAAAGGGCACAGTGTTAATATAACTTTAATGTTATAGAATTTCTCTGGTCAGTTTGACCCGGAAACCAGGTTCCGTGCAGCCATTTGCAGATCTGGAGGACAGGGACATCATTGCCCCTCTCAAGAAGGGGTGGGGGAAATTTCAGTTTTTAAATATAAAAGGAAAGGACATTTTTGGAAAGAAAAGCTATACAATGCTACATAAAAAAATTCAATTGTGGATCGCAAAAAATTGCCCCCCCTCCCATCCAAACTTATTGGTTTTGAATCCATCCCTCGACGGGGCCTATTAAAACCCGTTTCTGAAAAACATATGACCCAGAAATTTGTCATCCCTCCACAGGTGTTCTACAAAAGTACAGGCAAGGCCCTGATTTGTGCGCTTGAATTATTTGATCATACTTAGGTCACGTCGTTTGGCCGACAATTTAAACGTACTGATAGCAGCGGAATGCTACTCGAGGACTTAACACCGTTGGCGTTCGCCCTCATTTCACCATTTCACAATCGTATATGTGCACCCTTCAAGGCTGTGGGGTGAACATTTACCGACAAAACAAAAGGTTGCCCATTTCAGTTTTCATTGCAGGAAAAATGCATACAGACCAAGTCAGTGGTTTGGTATAATTCTGTACGATCCTTGTAAAAAAAAATGGCAAAGCCTGTACACCAACCAGTTACAAGTGGGAAACTGGTAGCTACGATCGGTCAGGACCGAGAGAGGCAAAATTGCAAAGACGTAAGCCTAATTGACAAGGAATACTGTTGGTTTTATTTTTTATGTACCATTGAAAGCAAAGAAAATAAATTTAAACTTTCGCCCTGAAGACTAATTTGTAGCTCTTCGATGCTGGCTTTGGATACACTCGATATTGTGCAGGGCACTCCCAGGACAGGACGCCATCTTGCCTACGGTCACATATTGAACCAACGAATGAGACACGCGAAAATTACCCCCCCCCCCTTTCCCGGAACAAGTGAGACATTGGATGATGTGGGCCTCCCCTTAATTATCGTCAGTGATAAAAAGCAACAGGGATCCGACTGCGATCTCATCCGAAAAACCTCGGATTACAAAAGGTTTTAATTAAGGGGAAAAATCGAACTTGTTCCCAGTAGCGTCCGGGATCCCTTTACGTGGCGGTTCGATGGTGGGTAGGGTTACCGGAAGCGATAAGCAAACTGCGCGCTACCCTGGCCTTTTTCGCCTTTCTATTCTACTTATTCTGATTGTCCGCCGGAGGAACAGTGCCCGAGATTAAACCACAAACTCCAGCGAAGCCTGCTGTCCGGATTCATTAATCACAGGCAAGATTCTATGAGCCGGATCGGTTAACCTTGATCCCTGAATCTCTCCAAAGCCAATCTCTTGTCTAAATGTTTGCGCTTGAGTCGTACCCAATGTGTTACGTGAAACTGGCAAGTCCATTAAATCGCTGTGTAAAAAGACTGCTACTGTCTCTATTTGTGGATTGTAATGACGTGTAGTACATGCATTCTAATTTCTTACACCGTGTTGCTTTGATCGTCGTTAGTTTCTTACTCAAATGTTCTGATTCTGGTGGAATACTGCATAATCTCTTCAGCAGGGGTGTAACATGTGCGGGCGATAAACTCTCTTTGGCAAACATTCAACATGAGAGCAATCATGAAAAAAATTCTTGAATGGCTAAAAAGTTTCTTAGACCGCCGTAACGGTGTTCATAAGGCTTCGCATGATAACAAAACGAGACGTGGGCGGTGGCGCGGTAAAGCTTAATAGCCACGTCCGACACTGGCTTCCTGAGCTACAGCCATAGCTGTTGTCAGCCTGTCCTCGTGCACTATCATAATTTTGCAACAGGTGAAGGCTCACAGATAGCAAGATTCGGACAGGGCCTCACCTTTGAAGATGGGACACACCTTGTCCCAGACGGTGATGGCGCCGGTCTGGTTATATTGACCCAGGGCAAGCTCCAGGTAGAAGAGAGGAATACCGCAGATAAGAAGCATGAGAGTGTACGGGATCAGGAACGCACCTGTAGAATAAGACAATGCACACGTTGTCCTTCCAGTGTGATAACTGAACAGGTCTCTGTAGCAATTACCAAAATAATGTGTAGTTTTTACTTTGACTTATTTTTCTTTAAGTACTCACATTCTGATTCTGAGAGCTAGCGAAAGGTAAAAACGTTCTCCATTACTGCTTTTTGTTTGTTGTTGTTGTTTGTTTTGTTTTTTGTTTTTTTATACTTTACTCCAGATTCCATTTCTGTATTTGGCACAGTTGCTCTTCCTATTTTGCAATACGCTCCTTAAATGAGGCATCGATTAGGCCAAAACTGGGCTGGAAATACGACGAACAGAGAACCGAAAACAATCAATTGCTAATGAGTTAATTAACGTTATGATTCACCCCTCGCCACAGGCGTTGTGTTTTATTAGTTTAGTTCCTTCGCGTTAATTGACGTTATTATTACCGAACTGCTCTTTCCCTTTGAAACCGTTGCTCACTGATATCTTCACTTTTGTGATTCACTTTCGAGTCACCTCAAGATTTTATTGTGGAAAACGGGGGGGGGGGTGAATCGATTTCATGACAATTCAGTATGAGATGTGGGATTGAGCAATATTACTGTAGTGCTATCCGGGTCAAATACCGCTACGCAAAATGAATTGACATGCTGTGTAGAAAGAGTCAAAACTGTCAATACATCCGAAAAATTTGCAAAAGCGCATTGGAGCGAAATTCTGCTTCAACGAAGTGCCCCCCCCGGAACAAAGAGAGGCAGAGTCTACTTACACAGCCACAACTGCGTCTTGGGATATTTTGAAGAACACCTTCAATGCTTAGCACAATTTGGGCAAATGTTGGCTTATCATAAAATACAGAAATTTGAAGTGGTGTAAATTCGACACAGCGCGCGGAGACAAATTCGCAATTAGGTGGAGCTCTAAAGCGACAATGTGCAATTATCAGCAGCCCCATGCTGTTTAATTAAAGCAACATTATGGATTCTCCGTGACAGACGGTCACTGAGCTTGCAGCCCCTTGATTTGTTAATTTCCGTAGCCTGGCCAATTATGTTGATATTACCCGTGTTATTAAAAAACAGCGAATTGTGGGTAAACTTGCAGAGACCGTGTTTCCGCACCCATCTGGCCGGATTGCAGGCTTGCAACCGTGCTGACAGACTATAAATTATACCTCCAAAACTCGCGTGTGTCAACTTTGCCCTCTATCGGTAGGATGCATTAAAGGCGACTTATGAACGAAAGTGACTTTTTAAAAACGAGGACAGCATTTGTTGTCAAGTGCGTAAGGGCTTTGTCAATGCACGAAACATTCTGTGTTTGTGTCTCTAAGCAAGACACTTTAGCAAAATTTCGTCTAGGTTATGTACATTTACCTACGTGTAGACGGCAAATCATTAACGGTGACGGTAGAAGGAGTTCAATTTGGAGATATTTTCATCACCAAACGTACTTTCTGTCGCTTCTCCGTTCTTTATTTTTTCTCCATTTGTCCAAGGCCAATCTGAGGCGCCCTTGAATAAGAACAGGAGCCTGACATTACAAGGACTCATCATTTTGTGTAAGTAAACAGATTTAGAGTCAGTCGCTCCTTGTTGTTTTACGGCTGCATTATTTGCTATTAAATCTACAGTTCTATTAGACCAGTAAAGCGCATCGTGACCTCCATCCACTTCAAAGACTGGTATAAAATGTTTTGCAGTCTGTCAGATTTACCACATGAAAGTAGAGCGAGAGAATATTTTCAGATGTTTTGCTGAAAACAACGAGAATGGGGTCAAAGGTTGACAGCTAAAATCTACTCCGGGGCTAAAGATCGCTATGAATTATGTCGAGCAACTTGTTTACAACACGAAGGATTTGTCGAGACTGTACTGCTGCAGCGCTGGTTGGTATTTTTTTCTGTTGAGCTCTGAAGGCAAATGATGCTGCGTTCAATTTGGATGCTTCTATATTCACTCGAACGGATAAAATCAGAGAAAACATATTTCCTAAGAGGTGCCCTTAAAGGTAAAGACTATGTAGCGACTAAATACTGAAATCATGCTTGTTATGTTGATACCGAACCATTTTGAACACGGTAAAAGTGTGGTAATGCGAACAGATTCGACCGAAGCCTTAAATAAATTGAAGGGGCCACTATGGCATGGCACGCTTGTGTTATGCTGTATTGTATCTCTGAACCAACCGTAACGGACGAAATTGCAACAGTTGAGAAGAATGAACATTGCGCTAGGCAGCAATCGATTCTATGGTAATAAGCATGCGAGGATATGAGATCATGCATGCGCACACAGGCTCTCGATATTATCCAGGGTCAATATTATTGACCCGTATATACCGCAGGCTGTTTTGACCCGTGAGCAGTCCACTTGACCCCAAATGGTCAAAATCATTTGCAGGTGTATCTCCGGAACGGCTGGAGAAATGTTGCAGACGCACACAAAAAATGTCGCACACATTTAACAAGAACATTCGATTTTAATCAAACAGACGGTAAATAAACACGGACCAGAAAGGAACCAAACAAGACAAAAAATCATTAGCGAAGAGACGTATGTATATGACCCACAAGGGTAACCCAAAGGACAGGAATGCTAAATAATTTGGTACCTACCTCCCCCGTTTTTGTAACACATGTAGGGAAATCGCCAGACGTTGGACAAGTCGACGCAGAAACCGACGATGGAGAGAAGAAAGTCCGCCTTGCCGCCCCAGGTCGGGCGGGCGCCGTGGTGCCGCCTGCCGGGAGCAAGCTCGCCTCCCTCCACGCTAACTTTCAATAACTTTCCCTGCGCTGCTTCGTCGTCAGCACGATGAAGACGGCACGAAGAAAATAAAAAAGGAAAAGGAAAGGAAGACTTCTTGATAAAACGTTCTCAGATTGGTTGGTGCGTGGGTGATTCAGTTGGTGGTGACCAATAGGATTACGCAGGAAAACATTCTCATTTTGGACCCTCTCTACTTCCATCCACTTGATATTTCAGGATAAAGCAGCAAGGCAGAAGTTTAGAAATAGACTCATAATTTTCCCACCATTGGCTGGTAAGCGGCTGACTGTCAGTACAAAAGCAAACGAACAACTGTGTATACTTAAAGTTCCACTCAGAATATCTAAACTCCATATGCCATTACTAAAACAGGATGAAACATGACCCTCTTTTAAAAGTAATGGCAACCAAGGGCGATTTTTTTTGGCCAACTTCCCCGCCCTTACAAATAGTATAGGCATTATGAGAAAGGTCTGTTAGAATGGGTATAGAGAACACCTCAGTCCTTTGCCCTCTAAATGATCAAGGTCTTCAGGCCTGAATGTCTAGGCCTTTGCCTGCCCATGCACCCGTTCTACCGCTCGGGGCCTCCCGACCAATCGAACCACCGACTAGGAGGAAGGAAAAGGAACAAAACAAGGGGCAAAGTTAAGAACGAAAAAACAAAATGTGCGCACACATAAGTCTCAGCTTTCTAGTTTTGGACTGAGGCCGAGAATTCCATCCCAGTCATATTTGCAGGAGTGGCAATCTCTGGAAAGGTTCAGAGTAACAAATCATTTAGACAGCCGATATAAAATTACCACTGACTGCAGGTATGTTGTAGCGTAAATGTTGGCAAGCTTTTGGGTCATATTCGAGCAAGAATGTAGGCAGTTGATATTTTGCCCCAGCAGGGTTTTGTCGAGTGCAATCTTTGCCTGACTTTTGCCAGTCTCTCATGATAACTACAATATTGTTTACAAAGATAAAACCTTAGGTAAGAAGTATATTTTGGTGAACTTCCGAGACTATTCTCTCAAGATGAGAAGCTGAGAATAGAGTGTATATGGCCAACATCTGTAACGGTAGCGAGTATTCTGGATTTTAGTAGAATCAAACACTACCTACATGTACATAACCGCCGTTAATATGCCTGAGCAATGTCGACACTATTACACAACTTCCATTGTCCCTGTGCCAATTCCAATTAATCAAGAAAATGAGGCATGAATTTGACAGAGTGAAACTTCTTGTACGGCTATACAATTTGACTCCGGCCACGCTTGACCATTGAATAGTTTGACCATGGTTTGACCCATATCTCGAACTTAGAGTGGGGAAAACAATTGTGTTTTGAAAAGGTCAAAGTAAAGTCACGCGTGCTTTATTCGCGACACAAAACAAGCACCGAGCATTACTTCCGTAGTCCCGTGTAACGGAACGAGACAAAAAATTGGATTATCTGTGTATACTGTATAGGACTGTGACGATATTGCGGACATGCTACTCTGACATATGACGGTTCAGCCTACTCCAGTATTTCTCGCGATAAATATGAGAGACTAAATTACCCCGCCTGTGGTGTGCACCGAAGGCTTATATTGATCTGTTTTCCAAGATTTCCATTCAACTGGATGATCGAGGGACACGGACTTGTGTGACACTTCGTGCCGTCTTGTCACAGATAGACTCTTTTCCAGCACACAAGGCTCCGCACTTTATCTAATAAGCTATGATGCGCTGGCTAGACCATGTTTATTTACCTCCGAACAAATGTCACAAGGTTGTTACCAAATCCAAAGCATCAAAGTCATGCTACCCCCAACTGATGGGTGACAAGATTGACACGCCGTGTTTAATCAAATCAAGTGTGGTTGATTGTGGTCTTTGCTCTGGTGTTAATTTTGTTGGGTTACATGCATCACTGAAGAGTGACCCAAATGTAGACCGTGCCATTATGTTCCGTAGTGAGAGGGATGGGAAGTTATATCTCGATTTAATAACACAATAACATACGCTTCTTATTGCTGGTAATTTAAATACATGTGCTATTCACCCAGTTTTTGTAGCAAAAGTAGCAAACGTTGGCAAATGATTCATGTGCAGAAGTATACAGGCCCTCGTATACTGATGTTTATGAGTGCATGCTTCCTTTCACGACCATCAAAAAACACAGGTTGCTTGTCAGAATCAGGATTGATTGAAACGGAGTCTGCAAACAATTTTACAAATTTCGGGAAGGTGGGGTGCTTGTCAGCCGATGTACTAGTGTGAAAAGCCTGGAAAAAAAGTTGAGCTGAAATATGAGACCCTCCAGTTATATGGGTACTACTAGCTCTTGGGTTGCAGAGAATAAGCTTATTACTTTTCGCCCCATTCCTTTAGCTCCGACCGGTACACATGAGGGGAAATAGCAAGGGTACGCGGGGCAAGGAGTTGGTCTTCGTATGGGAGTACTCGAACTTCACATTTCTTCCAGTGATAATTTGAGCAACTGTTTCATTTAAATGAAGTAGGCCTAAGCGAGCAAAGTGGTCTCAAATCATCAATCAGCAGTACTTCAAAGGCAAGGTAATTTAAATAAGTATTCTTATATCATATCGGGATCTCTCTCTAAAATTATGAAGTCGTTTTGTGAAAACAAAAAATGTTAACAATCAAACACTTTTAAAATTTATCAGCTATACGATACCCCTCCACGGGGTACCCTATGGCGAGGAGAGCATCCCCTCGTTTGAGGCCTGTGTCCCCGATGCCCGCACTTGGAATCTGAGAAGAAAGATTGCCTCGTTCTCGAAAAAGAGGCCTCCAAGTGTATATCCCCCGTAAGTTGGAACTCAGTCTTGTCAGTAATACTCAGCGTCTTCCAAATTTGTGTACGAAAGTTTTAATGTACCATAATGTCAGTTCCCCTACCTCAATCATGCTTGGGACTTGAGTTCAGGTTCCAAAACCTGACCTTTGTTATGTATGACCACTGTAAAACTATAGGACGCAGATTATGGTTCTCCTTTAAACTACACTGTATAGGTACCATACTGCTTACCATTAGCATTCATGTTGACTCCGTAGAACCGTGGGTTGTCGTTTGCAGTTGTCACTTCACTGTCGGTCCGCATGCCAGCTCCTTTTCAGGGTTCCGAGGTACTCTGTCCTTGGAGAACAGGCGTAAAGAAATAATTTTTGAAACGGCAGCAGTTTAATCTAAGGGTTACTTTCAAGAAACGAGTTGCATCTCCGCCGAGTGAAAATAGTTTTTCCCCTTGCGTGCACGATGCTTTGTGTAGAGATCGAGGATTTCAAACACTGTGGGGCGAATCTGGTACGCAGCTGTAATAAAGCGGGAATTGTGAACACAGGCGCAACAGGTTGTGGGTGGGCGACCGACGAGCCTTGGCCGATCCGAGTGGGCTAATCGTGAGCTAGCAAACTCTGCGGCAAAGCGCCTCTCGCTGTGTTGTGCCAGCCCCAGCTTCGGTATGGGCGACTCCAGCGACCCCTCTAGTCCATCAGCCACGATGACATCAGCAGGTAGAAGGAGGGAACACGAATACCCCCCGCAGCGACCTATAATGCATGGCGTATACAAGTAACTTGAGGCCCACGGGACGATGACGATACAACCGTATCCAATCACAGCCACTCTCGCTCTTTCTCTCTCTCTAATTAAAAAAAAAGTCTAGCAGGAAGCGGCTATGCAAATGTTGCAGAGGAGGTTTCCGCTGAGGAATGGCAAGGGGTTAGTTACTAAATTGATCGTGTCTTTGCGTGATGCAATAGCTCATAGATTAGCGAGGGTCGCTCTTCTTTCTCAAGCACAAGGAAAAAAGAAATTTGAAGAAAATTAAGACAGGAGAAATTAAGCCGCTAAAATTGTATGGCAATGGCCTATTTTTGAATATTCATGAGCACTAGCGTTGCTCAATTAACTTTCTTTCTTTGAAACCCGCAAATTCTCTACATAAACAAGTTTACAACATGACAATGGCCGGGTCATACTACAAATGAGTGGCAGTGTCTCAAATTGTTTTGATTCGAGTCGATTTACTGTCACGTAGTGACTCCAGTCGATTTGAGTCATAAGGCGAAAAAGTCGAGTCGAGTCAAGAGTTTGGCTCGAGTTGTTGCCAATATCTGAACACAAACAAGAGAGAAAGTCATTGTTTGACATTGTTAAAATTCCTTCTGGGTTTCTGCATAGTTACACCACAACTTACACTGCATGATAATAACACATAGCATGAACATTATAAACCGGCACTTTAAGTCACTACAAAGGTGTGTGTGTTTTTTAATAACTTTGGTTTTATTTTTGGGACTCTAGTCTTATAATCTTTCAGTCGAGTCGGGTCATCAAAAATGGTGACTCAAGTCGGACTCGAGTTATTACAACTCTGGTGAAAGCAAAACGTGAAGTAAATTTGCCTGAACAATGTTTTGCGGTGAAATTCGCTTGAGTTGAAGTGTGTTCAATTTTTGCTAATTCGAAGCGCGAATATTTTTTATCTGACGTCACATAATGCTACTCGTGTTTTCCTGCGTTCATGTCAAGTATGAGCCGGCCTTTACAAAAATTTTAAGCATCGTTTGCAAACTTTAGAGCCAACAAAAGCCAAAATCTGATCCAAATGGTCTTTGATTGGCTGTTAAGAGTAACGTCTTCTTATCATCGTCAATATCTCACAAAAGTCTCGCTGTCGTCAAATTCCTTCACAATCACAGTCATTATCCACTGATGTCTTTTTCGCCACGGCGATCTCGAAGCCAACCTCCTTCGTAAACTCGTCATTGCAACCATAAAAAGCCACATGAAATTCATCTCAGCCACTCTCATTCCACCCTCACCACCCTCATCCCCTTCAATATCTCCCTGATATTCGTATCCTGTGCCCCCCCCCATCTTCCAGCCCTCCTCAACATGGAGTTCCTCCTGACTTGATCATCATCCATGACTTCATATCGTATTTATGTAGGAGTGCCATCGGCATCAATTTATTATCAAAAACTGTAACATTACCACATAGTTATCATAACTCATCCTTGCTTCAAACATCTATAAACATATCCACCCCAACCTACACCATTCGTCTTCCGTCTAGGGCTAGGAGTTAAGGGCTACTTACGCCTGTACTCTGGGACGGCCGCCTCGGGCTAGCAGGTGGCCATTCGCTTGTCACATGGACGCCACTCTGCCCTGGAAACGCGATCTGGCGAATGGTCGATGAAAGCCAAGACTGGGAAACCTCGCTCGCCAGATCGAAGCTCCAAGATCCCCCCGAAAATACCGAGAGGAGAGTAGGCGCTACTCTCGTCTGGGTTAGGGCTGTGTGCGGCGTGCATCAGCAATGCTGCCCAACGCCTATGTTCTCAAGTCGGAAGGGCTGATATTGGAGAAAAATCTGTGCATCTTTGGGCAACTGTTGTAATTCAAATTAGACACTTCATTTACGGTTGCAGCCGACACGCAACATGGACGATCTTATTTATAAGTTGGTACATTTTCCTGCCTCGAGACACCTGTGCGCCCCCCCCCCCGCTAAATAAAAACCTGACGATGGGAGCCATGAAAACCAACATGTCGTTGAATAGAAAACACGGCGCTGCATTCTTTGAGACGCCACGCGGACAAACTGCGACTAGCCCATTGGGTTTTCTCCCTTAAAATCGAACATTAAGGTTCTCCCCTGAACTTTGGACAGAAAACGATTCGACGGAAAACACTGAGCGTGAATGTTATTATTGTTAATATATAATAAATTATTAACAATGTAATATTATTATAATTCATTTATTATAAAGAGTCTTACATATGGGATTCTGAATACAACATTATCCCACCAAAAAATTCCCTTTCCCCACTGTACCTCCTTTTTACCTTAGATTTACCGCTAAATCTGACTGATTTGACCGATTTGTTTTTTTCTATAGTTAATTGTTTTCAGAGTTACTTTCCAGAACAATTACCGTGTATTACAGAACTCTACCATTGCAGAAGTACACGCATGGAACTTCAGTGCTTTACCAATAAGGAAATGTTTACAAGAGTCGGCTGGCTCGCTAATTATTCAAAGGAATCTGAGTTCTTTTCTATTACATAAACAGACACAATGCAGTCATCCTATAGGTTAATTGACAGTCTATAGGTTAATTGACCTGGTAATGACTTCACATTCCGATATGCATGAGCAAGCAAAAGAGTAAATTAGCCTTTATATTTCCGAGTTGACGTTGGAATCGTTGACTTGTAGATTCTTACGTCACAGTTTGATGATAGCGTAACGAACTGTTGATTATTATTAAGGGGCTTTATGTGCATAATAGTTCAATGGCACGTCACTGCATAGTTACGCTGACACAGGGCTTCAGTGAGATAGGCATCAATTTTCTGGGACGCTTGTTCTGAGATCGCTGTTACAAATCGTCTACTGCTGTTTTTCCCCACCAGAAAGACAGCTTCATTGACAAGAAAAACTTTATTGTCTTTATTGCCTTGGTGGTGGAGGGATGCTGTTCTTACGGAGGCCGCTGCAAGCTTGCCCCTATCTGGTATGGCTCAGAGACAACACGATCAGCCTCCTTCGCTGGCATATGTTTGGTTTCTGGCTTCCTCCGTGGGCGCGTTTGAGGCATAACTGACGTCTCTTACAGGGATCATTAACCTGATCTAACAGACATCGGAGAATGGTGTTCTATATCTGCCATCTCATATGTCACACCATTTGCGCTGCTTTTCCTTGTGCATGGCCAATGACAATGCAGGTGTATCGCTGCGTGTAACTGAAAACGGTCCATGAGCTAAACAAACAGAGTGATACGTTCACTTGGCAGAAGCACATGATATAAATCCAAAGTACTGAATATTGTTGTAGTCAAGACCCCTTAAGACCACCACATGACCAACACAAGACCCCCAGCCTGAATTCAAGTCACTCGCTTTCAAATGGACGTATCCATTCAAATACCTGGAGAAATTAAAGACCGTGTTCCGGTTGCTCTTTCAAAATCAGGATGCACTGACATCTTCCCACTGTTCCCCCCTAAGCTTCTGTGAACCACTGATTCACCCAGCATTCAGTGTGCTCTGCCAAGTATATTTTGCCTGACAAAAGTTCATTCTCTCTGAGCTGTTGTTCACCTGAGCATTTCATGTAAAATGTTATTTCTATGTCATTGATCACACCATTACTTGTGGCCGGTCTTGCCACTAGTCTTGTGATTATCTCCACTACAACACTGTTATTACAACAATTGGCAAAGCACAGGCCATGTTGGTCAGTGCACGCAACCGTACGCCGTGATTCTCAATCAGTAATCCTTTCCTCCGTTGTATTGAGAAGTATATGTACAGTTTAAACAAAATATTTAGTAACAGTGTATCAATTGGTGTTACATTTGTCTCGGTTGTATTTGGCGTGTTATTGAAATCTCCTCGTATCCCTACTCGTCAAAAGAATACTCGTCGAATACCGAGGAGCTTGAGGAGCTAATCCAATAATAAGGATCTTTCCCTAGGTCGACACCATTTCCTCTTTTACGCAAAATTAGACAAGAATTACACTTTGGAAAAAATAAAGCTAAGTGTCGGGTGAGAAGGCTCTCTCAAGTTTGCCTGAAACAACAGCCAAATCTACAGACCAACTGCAGGTTTGCAGGACTTTTTCTCTGTGATACTACAGGGTCTATCAAGATACTTATTAACCTCACTGCTGGGACATGCGAGCTACTACTTGCACCATGGAGCAAGGACACACTAGGCAATCCTTACCTAGTCCACCCCTGATGACCCGTCCCCGTGTTACTCGGGGTCGCACATCGCTCAACACCCTAACCTATTTGCTGTCGGGCCCTCCCATCCTCTTAGCATGAAGCTGCTGTGCCCGCCTTGGGCAACCTGAGAGAGCCGTATCGTCAGGTACACGAACATACCTACTGATTTTTCTTTCTCACGTATTACCCTCACCTCCTTGAACCAAGTCAAAGAGTACATGTAATTACTGCAAGCATATTAGGTATCTTTTGTGAGACTGAGAAGAAATATGGATGCCTTCCTGTTTGTATAGAGTACGAATCAATAAACTTCGTGACTTGAGATTGCAGTAATGAACCATTTGCGGTAAAATGTCCGTCTTTATAAAAAAAAAAAAACTTTGCATCGATTGGGGACATAATCAGAGTCAAAGACTGCCTTCGTATGCCTTCACGAAAAACCAGCAACCTCTTTCCAGCCTGCAAATTGGGTCAAATTCGTACCTCAAGCCGCTAACATCCCTAAACTGATTTGCGTACGTACTTTTAGAAAAAGATAAAGTCAGTTTTGACAAAATTTGAACATGGAAGTTAACAGATTGTGTATGACTTTTGCCGTTACTGAGGAATCACTTAAGAAAAACAACATCCTGCATTTTGTGTTTCAGTTACATGCAGAAAATTATCAGGTAATGCCGACCTCCGCTTTGATGACATCACCGGATTTTGATGACCCTTGTCGGAAAATCAAGTTGGGGCTATTTATTTGTGTAAAATGACACCTCCCAATTTGCACTAAACTCAGATATGTGGGTCCATTTCTTAAGTCTGTCTCCTTCTATCACGTTTGAAAGTAGATTCGTGATGATGGTTGCATATGGAACGCAGAGTATCCGACGTAATGCATGTCAAGTGCCACGTCAAGTGGAATAAGTTTTTCTTGACAACTGGAATGTTTAAACATTCATTTTCTTTATTGTCTTGCAATACAATTAAACGTCTCTGCATGCTAGTGTACATTGGATGAGTTTAAAATAAAACATCCTTCAAATTGAGTGAGCAGAAGCTAATTCAATCGTTATATCATGCACGGGATCGAAATGTGAGACGAATTCCATCAAATTCTGACGACATCGACCGGAAAATGAAAATGAAAAATCGACCGCTGCTAACTTGGAGAGACCAATGACTAATTCACGGTAGCATTTACGCAATCCAGTCTTCTTTAGGCAATTTTTAAGTTAACTGATTATAAATTTCAAAAGAAGTTTGAAATTAAGCGGGAAACTACAATTCAAATTAAACTAAAGGTGATTGTCACATACACGTTTTAGCTTGTTCTTTTCAGTGAAATGTATACCGCTAATTCAAGAAGAGAGAGATCCCGCCCTGGTCCATATTATTCCCAATGGACTAGCTTCATGTCCGAGTTTGCATGCTTCTAAGCCCAGTTGATGCTGCAAGTGGAGCCGGGTCTGTGACACCTTTTGAATTTTCCGAGCAATGTTCACAAGGGAGCCCAGAACTTGGAGTGGATACCGCACACGCGATGACATCTCGTGGCAGGACCCGCGGCGAGATCGACAGACTGGAATTTGGAAAGTGACGATTGTGACCCAATAACAGGGGAAAATTCTCGGCAAGTCGATTATAGGTTAGGAGGAGATCTCTGTGGAAACAGCAGAGCTTAAGACTCTATACATGATTTGAGTAAGGTTACTTTGTGTTACATAGAACCAGATTGTCCAGAAGCCACAGTATGGGTTTTGTTCCTCCTGGCTTATGAAAATATTTTGAGGGCCTACGAAATCAATTAGGAGTGTTTTTTTTTTATCTGATTATTGTGAACAGGTGGACACGAAGGTATATGCATTACAGTCTCCCATACATTTCGAAATGCTCACTATGTAACATTATGGGAAGGTTTCAATTTTTTTGTTACAATTGCTTTAATTAGTTGCGTTTTAATTTGCATTATTTATTTTTGGGTTTCAGAGCGAGTAGAGGCCTGACCCCCACCTCAACCCCGGGATCTGCGCATGAACACCGTTACAAGGGTTCCCTAAAGCACAAACACCAACTGACATGCACACGCGTAAAAAAGTCCCAGCGTCTCTCTTTTATTTAGCCTTTGTGTTGGAGGAAGCTTCACACTCGCTAATAGCTTATTTGAGCTTAGAATTCATACGCAATGAGGGCCTTCAGAGCAAACGATAGTACGTGCAGGGCTGAGCAGGGCCTACGAAACGCTGTCCAGCGCGACGGAGACATTTGATTCGACCTTGCGTACTCAAACCAGCACTTCCTAAAGGTGGAAGCATGCTTTAGATATGCACATCATGCACTACTGCAAAAAGCATAACAAATTTCCCGTAAGCTGTAGCACCATAAACATGCAATGGGTGGTGGATCCAGGGGGCAATGGTAATGAGCCCCCCCCCCCGTTAAAAACATAAGGGTGCACATTGGGGGGGGGGATATATAACGAAAAATAGAGGAGGGAACGCTATTTCATCAACTTTTCTGCCCAAAGCAAGTAAAACATCAACTCCCTCGTATAACCTCACCCCTTCAGAGAAAGCGCAAAACGGAAAAAATATAAAAATCTTCAGCCCCACCTCCCGAGAAAAGCAAGTTTCCCTACCCCTCGAAAATTTGATTCTGGATCCGCCAATGATAGGTGGCTTCCTTATAACTGGCCAATTGCAGACCATTAACGTTTGATCCTTGTATGAGG